AACCATGTATGTAAGGGTACATCCACCCCTATATACTCCATTTTTCCCCTTGCCCAAACTGATCTGACGTCTTCCTCAGTTAACTCTGATTTCTTTGTCTCTTGAAACAGGGCAATATCTACTTGTCTCTCCATCACAATCTTCTTAATTTTACTTCTCTTCTCCTTCCTCCCTATCCCCCTAACATTCCATGAGAAAATCTTCATAAGAACATCACTACTTCACCAAATTCCCCCCAGCTGGTAAACCTACTCCCCAACTCCCACCCCCCCTGCAATTCGGTCCATATCCTTCAACTCAAGGTCCACTATTTTCTCCAACACTTCAGCCCTTTTCCCATTCAGCTTCACCCCAAGGAGTTCCCCCAATTTCAGTGTTGCTTCAGCCTCATTAAGGACGATCCTCCCTCTGTCCATACCACCCTCTATAGATGCAGTTAAGGACGATCCCGCCACTGCTACTCGCCAATCCGCTGCCTTGGGCCGTGCCGAGCTTGTTGCCGCACCTTTGCTCTCGTATCTTCTCCTTAGATCGGCTGAACTTCTTCTCCTCAGATCTGTTGACTTGGGTTTCGATATGCACTTACAAATCATTTTTTGTTTTGTATGAAACCTTAATTGGGTAGGTCTGCTTTGCATCCGCATGTCTTGAGTAAGCAAGAAAGCGTTCACAAATTTTGGAGTTTTGTGAAATAAACTTTAAGCACTTTTACAAACTCAAAACTTTTTACTAAAAAAATACTCATAAAATCTAATCTGTAGTTGAAATTATTTTAAATGGAGGTTCTACCACTTAAGAATTAAATCTAAGCTATACATAAATTTTCTTTCATCATGCATTAAGCAAGTGATGATTCATAAAAAGAAGAGAATTGGTTAAACCAACACTTAACTCGGTGGTTGGAATGTTTCTTCAAAATAATAATACTATATGCCTAAAAAATTAGTTAAAAATGTAAATTTATAGATCACATTTGAATTCGGAATAATAATTTGTGATAACATTAAATTTTGAGATATAAAACATTTTTATTAGGATTCACTTTTTAGAAAATTAATTAATTTTTTTTTCATGTTTTTTGTTTTTACTAAATTTTTAAAATATTTTAAGAATTTTTTTTTTAATTTTTAGATACACTTAACATAAATATACTTAAAAAATATAATATTTGTGAATTTTTATTAAAAAATTCACTAAATACCAAAAATACAAAAAAAAATAATTGAAAATTCAATAAATTTTCATATTATTATGTATTTATTGATTTTTTAAAATATATTTTTATAAATATTTTACTTTTTAGATACATCTAACTAAGGTACATCTAAAAAATAAAAAAATTATTTAAATTTTTTAAAATATTCACTAAAAAAAAAACTCAACTTGCAGAAAATTGAAACCAAATAGTGAATAATTTTTGATTTTTTTTCAGAGTCCTAGAAAGTATTTTTCTTATACCACGTTTGGGGGATGAGTCACCATTGCAGAATGGCCGTTGTAGGAAACTATCCTCTCCCGCCAAACTCAAATCCAAGTCCAAGAACCAAACACTCCCAAGAAAGAAAACAAATCATCTATCTGTTGCAGAAATGCAAAAACATCAACCAAATCACTCCAATACACGCTCAAATCATCAGAAACGGCCACGAACAAGACCCCTTTATCGTTTTCGAGCTTCTTCGCGTTTCCTCTAATTGCAATTCCATCGATTACGCCTCCAAGGTTTTCCAGCAGATTCAGAACCCGAATGTCTATCTCTACACTGCTCTCATTGATGGGTTTGTAAAGTCTGGGTCTTACCTTGATGGGATTCGAGTATATTCTCAAATGGTTGAGGCATGTGTCATGCCTGACAACTATGTTGTCAGTTCGGTTCTCAAGGCATGTGGGTCTCAATTGGGTTTGAAGGAGGGTAGAGAGATTCATGCACAGGCTTTGAAGCTTAGTTTGAGTTCAAGTCGTTCAGTGAGGATGAAACTTGTTGAACTCTATGGAAAATGCGGTGAATTTGAGGATGCGTGGCTGGTGTTTGATGAAATGCCTGAACGAGATATTGTTGCATTGACCGTTATGATATCATGTTATGTAGATCATGGATTGGTAGAGGAAGCTAGGAATATTTTTGATGGGGTTCAGACAAAAGACACTGTTTGTTGGACGGCTATGATTGATGGGTTTGTTAGGAATGGGGAAATGAATAAAGCTTTGGAATTGTTTAGGGATATGCAAAGGGAAGGGATGAGACCGAATGAAGTGACAATCGTTTGTGTTTTATCTGTGTGTTCGCAGTTGGGAGCGTTAGGGCTTGGACGGTGGGTTCATTCCTATGTGGGGAAATATGGGATTGAGCTCAATCATTTTGTTGGTTCTGCTTTGATCAACATGTATTCGAGATGTGGTAGTATTGATGAGGCAGAACGAGTGTTTGAGGGGCTGAAAGAGAGAGATGTCACTACTTATAATTCCATGATTGCCGGGCTTGCCTTGAATGGAAAGAGCATTGAGTCTGTAGAGATGTTTCGACAAATGGTGAAGCACGGTATTAGGCCAACGAACATTACTTTCGTTGGTGTGTTGAATGCCTGTAGTCATGGGGGCATGGTAGAGTTGGGATTTCAAATCTTTGAAACTATGACTGAAAATTATAAGATTGAACCACAAATTGAGCACTATGGATGCATGGTCGATCTTCTTGGGCGCGTGGGTCGTCTTGAAGAGGCTTATAACTTCATTAGAAGCATGAAAACAGCACCAGACCACATTATATGGGGATCTTTGCTAAGTGCTTGTAAGATTCATGGAAACTCTGAACTAGGAGAACAGGCAGCTAAAGTTTTACTAGATTGTGGAGACGCTGATTCAGGTACATATGTTCTACTATCTAATGTCTATGCTTCATCTGGGAAGTGGGGGGAGGCAGCACAAGTGAGGGCGAAAATTAAGTTGGCCGGTATTCAAAAGGAACCAGGTTGTAGTTTGATTGAAGTGAAGAATGAGGTTCATGAGTTTCTATTGGGGGACATAAGACACCGTGAAAAGGAAGCGATCTACAAGAAGCTGGATGAGTTGAGTCAATTACTGAGATTAGAAGGCTACTCTCCAGAAACAGATAGAGTTTTACAGGATATTGTGGATCATGAGAAAGAATGGGCTCTAGCTATACACAGTGAGAGGCTTGCAGTATGCTATGGGCTAATCTCAACTGAACCGTATACCACTATAAGGGTTGTGAAAAATCTGAGAGTATGCAATGATTGTCATTTGATGCTCAAGCTCGTTGCTAAGATTACTAGGAGAAAAATTGTTGTGAGAGATCGGAACAGGTTTCACCATTTTGAAAATGGGATTTGCTCTTGTGGAGAATATTGGTGAAAATAAAAACAAGAACACTGTATTCAACAGGTTTCACCATTTTGAAATTGTGATTTGCATACCATAGCAATGTGAAGCTGAGATGGTGGCATAGCTCTGGCAGTGGTAGGATTGGGTGGGGGAGAGGAAGGGGTGGACGATAGCTTTGGAGGGTAGGAGAGGAGTGGCCAGTGGGGGAAGAAGTTGGGAAAATAAAGAAAGAGAAGGGAGGATAGAGGGTTGGGATTGGGGCATTTTTAATGGATTCCTTCTCTTTGTAATTATTTTTTATTCTCCATATTTTTGTAATTTATTGAGAAGAAATGAACAAAGACTAACTTGAAGGGCTAGACCTCAGCCAACCATTACCAGAAATAAGAATTTTGATGATTTCTTTTGGAGATGGTGTGTGAATTTAGATCTGTTTAGGAAAATTCTATTCAGACAATATGACATTGTCATTATTGTAAATAAACTCATCTTCAATGATTTTTTGTCAAGTATTATTTATGGGCACATTATAATTTATTTATTTATTTATTTATTTATTTATTTTTTAAAGATGAAGAGTCACTAAGCCATACTAATGAATTCTGGAAAAAAAAAAAAAAAAATTAAAATCAAATTTTTTTAAGTAAATGAAAAATGAAATAAGTAATTACAAATTTTACGAACATGTTAGTGGATCTACATTTCAACGCAAAAGTTGTGACTTGAGACATCTTTCATTCGCACACACTCATACCTTTATAAATTTGTAAATATTTGCTTTACTTCTCATTAATTTGTAATTTGCTGTTAAAAAATAAAATTATTTGTTTCTTGGATATCCTAATTTCATTTATAATTGCAAAATGATTTGTAAGACCTATAACACCGTCCAATCTAAACCAAATTTGGTAGACAATTTTTGAATTTGAAAATTATTATTTTTTATTTTGATGGAAAATTAGAAAATTATTCTTTGTGTTTGGTTTCAATTTTCTAAAAATTAAGTTTTATTTATTTTTTATTTTTTGTATTTTTTTTATTTTTAGTGAATATTTTTAAAATTTTAAGCATTTTTTTTTTACTTTTTTAAATACACTAAACTTAGATGTATCTAAAAATTAAAATATTTTAAAAAATTAATAAATACACAAGAATACGAAAAATATACTAAATTTTCATATATTTTTTTTGTATTTTTGATATTTAATGAATTTTTAAGTATTTTTTTCACAAATATTATATTTTTAAATGCATTTATATTAGATGTATCTAAATTATTTAAATTATTAAAAAAATTCAATAAAAATAAAAAATAAAAAATTTTAACTTAAAAAAAAATAAATTCAAAAAATTCAAGCCAATCAGCTTGTTTGGTTCTGGTTTTTAGTATACAATTTTCAAAAAACTTTACTTTTTTATTTTTCGTATTTTAATGTTTTCAATGAATTTTTAAAAATATTTTAAGCATTTTTTTAAAAAAAATTTAGACACACATAACATAAATACACTTAAAAAATATAATATTTGTGAAAAAAATCTTTAAAAAATACATTAAATACCCCAAAAAATAAAACAACGAAAATTCAATACATTTTTTTTTGTATTTTTACGTATTTATTAATTTTCTAAAATATTTTTTCGCAAGTATTTTACTATTTAGATATATATCTAAGTAAGATGCATCTAAAAAAGTAAAAAAATTGTTAAAAATTTTAAAAATATTCAGTAAAAATAAAAAATTACGATAAATAAAAACTCAATTTTCAAAAAATTGAAATCAAACACACTGAATTTAACTTTTTGAGAAATATCTTGGATGTTGTAAATAATGTAAAAGATATAAACAAGTTCGACTTTTTGAGAAATATAAGTAGAGTTTGACTTTCTTTGTTGTAAATGATATTTTGGAAAGGATGTTAAAGAATGATACATATATATAAAATGATATATGATTGATTACTTGCCATTTTGGTCTGTGTCTGTGTTATTAGTAGATGTGCTTATACTTATGATAAATGATTATACACTCCATTGTTGTGATTTTATGAGGTTTGGTGTAGGTTGGTTGGATATGTTTGATTGTAACACTGACAAGGACCTATGATAAACTAGACAGTCAAATGTTACTGTGTTATAGAGTAGGATTTTATTATTTTATACTAAAATGTTAATGCATCATTCTATCCCATCATTACAATTCCAAAGAAATCGTAATGGCCAACTTAAACTACTTTACAACTTAGTGTTGCACAAAACAATTTAACAATATACTAAAAATGGATTGTTATTGCAAAAGCACTACATTATTTTCATACTTTTATTACAAAACAATAATGTCTTTCATGCCAATGTCTCCTTATAAGTCTTTCTATTATGACCGTATTTCTTGGATCTACCACATTGTACTCGTCTTATCTTTGCACCTCTAGATGAAATCATATCGAAGCCTAAAGCGGAAGCAAATAAATAGCAAAATGTCCATTGAGCAGTGCTTATATGCCAGAATCATTAAAAATCATATTTAGATGGTTCATATACACAATTTATATATACAACTAGTAATCATGTACGTTAGCAATCCAAAAATTACATATTCACAAGTGTTTAAGCAACAAGCTTCAAAAGACTTAATAAAATGTTAAGACAATTTCCAAAAGACAAGAGGCTCCACTTTGGAGACTTAACAAAAATGGTCCATCATAAGGTTCTCGAAGTTAACCTAGGGCTGGCCTCCAAGTTGATCACCTACATAAACATATAGAAGAAAAAAAAACGGAGTGACCAAGGCTCAGTGAATAATAATAAAATAAGGAGGTTCGTGTGAATGGGCATATGTCTTGGAGAATATTTATCTAATATATACATGTCTCCATAATCATATTCCAAAATGACCTCGGACACACATAGGACGGAACGGCCTAGGGCCTAACATAAGACGGAACGGCCTTAGGCCCAACGTAATACACAACGGCTTTGAGTCCAACATAATACACAACAGCCTCAGGCCCAACGTAGTATACAACGACCTTGGGCCCAACATATCAACAGCTATTCTGGACTTTATAGGGTAGACGGAACATCAACATGTCTCCATCTCCCTTGGCCTTAGAGCCATTAATCATATCAATTTATATCATGGCAAGGTAGATGGAACATCGACATGTCTCCACCTCCCTCGGCCTTAAGGCCATCATACATAACGGAAACAGAACAACCTCAGGTCTATTTCATATACCATTGCTCAATCATTTCCATCAATTTATAATTTATCAAACGTATGTCATTCATAACCAAACGTGGGCCATTCATAATCAAAATACATGAATTAAAGCACCATTTAACTCAAATATGCCATTCACGTTCAAGATACATAATTCATAAACAAAAATACAAAAATAAACATATCGTTACATTATTATTACTCATAGTGGTTTAGTCGAGCAACGATCGCTTCCTACAAGTGACCTACACATGGCACACACACAATGGATAATCAACACATTCTTTTCTTAACTTCCATTCTTTAATCATTCTTCTGTTTCGTTCAATTCTTATTCATTTTTAAGCATTTCAGAGGGATCAAATAGACATATTAACAAATTCAGAGGGTCAGAAGGAGCAAATGAAGTTGACATAATTTTTCTCCACTGGCCGCATGTGCAGAAGTCCCTAACTGCATGTGCAGCTCCGCACGTGCTTTTATTTCAGATTGCTCAGTCTGTCTCCTCTACTTTCCGCACGTGTGGCTGTGAGCCCCGCACGTGCGGTCCTGGGCTCTGTTTGAGTAGTCCGAAACTTCAACAATATCAACCTTTTCAAATGCATTTCTAAGCTCAATTCAAGCAACTTCACTTTAACAACAAGACATATGATCAAAATAAACATGAAACCTAAACTCAAGTGGATCATAACTTATTTTTGTTTGGCATATATAACTCTAATTTCCATATTCCTTCATTTTCTTTATCTTTTCATGATATATATACAAACATATATACAAACATGTACATACATATATGCATGAGTTCAAAACATGCCAAAATTAAAGATAAAAAGGCAATGACCCACAATCTAACTCAAGACAACTCAAAACACAAGAATCAACCCTTTAATTAGCCAAATCCAAAGATTACATCTTTAATTTCATGAAATTGGTTAAAACCATAACCCAAAACCCTAACTCATATACATGTAAGAAACTTCATTTTAAGACTTGATTCGAAGCAATTGAAGAAATATTGTAAGTATTTGGATTGATTAACACTTACCTTGAGTCAATCTTTAAGTTACTCTTCCAATCTCCAAGCTTAAATTGAATTCTCTTCTTTTCTTTCTCTCTCTCTTGGGTGACTGTCCAGATTTTTCCACTCACTAAATGAAAAGGGATGAGCTTAAAAGGGCTTATATCACATGTATATGTATATAGTTAAAATGCTTGCCAAACAAACCTTAACAAAATCAGACTGAATCAATTTTCAATTAAACTTTCTAAATGGCTCTAAAAATTCCCATTAGCATATTCATGTACTCAATTTCAGTTTCTAAACTCATTAAAGTTGTTAATTTCAGTTTCAAAGTGTTAACTCTAGGAGTTTTAGCCAAATAAAGCTAATTAATTCATTATGAATTGAATTTATACAAAACTTCATATTATGTTCTAAAAATCATGCTAATCATAATTGTCAAGTCAATTTCGGTTTATTGCGCTTCTAAGGCTTTCAATTTTCAGTCCAAAGGTTGTAATTTCAACAGATTTTTCTTATAATCGACATATACAAGTTCAGAAATATGGAATTTACACATTTAAACATGTAATTTCACATAAAGCACATAAGCACACGTATAATCACACATATAATTAGGGAATTAAAGCAGATAAGAGAGTTAGGTTATTACAAGTACAAAGAAAGCCATTCATTTGCCATTAGTAACACGAGCAAGTTCTATTCAAGAGGTTAATAGTAACTAATGGTCAGGATTGAACCTCCAAAACATGATCACTTGAACAACTAACCAAGTTCTACCACTTTTAAGAGTTGCTACTAACATTGGATCCATCTATGGATAAAGAAAAGTATTCCAGTTCTTAGTTTCTTCTCTCCTTCTTAACATCAAATCTATGATTTTCAACCTAATTGAATCAATTATCTTTGTAGTGGGCAAATGCATTGTTGATTTGTAGAGTATAATTCTTTGACCATTATTAAACATATCATCCTGAAACAAAAATGTTACAACATAGTAAAATTTTATTGTAAAAAAAAGTATAATGTTACTGACTACCATAGTGGCACTTTACTGTCTTATTGAACAAAGCATTAATAACAAAAAAAATAGAGTACGTGCAATCAACATAGAACGAAAACAAACCAAAAAAGAAATTTATTTTTTTAGGAAGCTCTACAAACAACAACCAACAATCAATTCTGAGAAACACAAATTAATCTAATAAAACAATCAGGAATCAACTAACTTAGAGAAACACA